GCTTTTTCACGTTTACACGTTTTGAAAACGTGATTCCACTAAATACATACCAAGTCTTAAAACTCTTCCTACAATGACAAATGAAAAGTTTTCTGTAGCACTTTTCTTGCAAACAAATAATAATTTCGAAACTACCACCCAATTGGAAACATTTTTTTTTTTTTGTAAATTTTAATTGCAAAAATCTTGACACGTAGATTTTAGTCTATAAATAGAACTACAGTTAACGAACAGCTAACGAAGAGCAGAGACACAAACAAACAGAACAAAACAAATATAATTTGAATATTGCAGCTATGGCTCCGACTTTGCAAGGCGAGTGGATCAAGGTAATAGCTTAATTAATCATTTCGAATTACATTTCTCACAAATTCATAACTTTGCACGAGAGAATCATTATATAGGTTATATAAATATTTGTAAGTAACTAAGAAAGCTAAGTAATCGTCCTGAAAAAGGGATATTCAAGGTTTTTGAATCCAGTAATGAGTAATTGAAAGCATTAAGATTTTATTATCCGTACATAAAAAATCAAATATTGGTTATCGATTTAGGTTAACTACAAACTATGTCATGTATATTCGAATAATTAACGGACACATGAATATCCATTGTAGTTGTCATAAATCTCATCATCATTATCATGCATGGTTTCGATGTGTCAGGTGGAGGAGAGAGGAGGACAAGGACCTGAAAAAAGAGGCTCACACGGCATAGCTGTGGTCGGAGACAAGCTCTACTCTTTCGGCGGCGAGAACCCGGCAAACAATTCCCTCGACAACGACCTTTACGTCTTTGACTTCAGCACTCACACTTGGTCAATCGCTCCTCCCAACGGAGACGCCCCTAGCCTAAAAGCCTTAGGCACTCGTATGGTGGCCGTGGGAACTAAGCTCTATCTATTCGGAGGCCGCGAGAAAAGACAGTTCGAGGAGTTTTACTCGTACGACACGGTGAAAGAGGAGTGGAAGTTCCTGACGAAGCTCGATGAAGAGGGAGGACCCGGGGCACGTACTTTCCACTCGATGGCAACGGATGAGAACCACGTGTATGTATTCGGTGGAATAAACACAGGCAAGACGATGGAAACCCGCCATCGGCTCAAGACGGTCGATGCCTATAACATTGCTGATGGGAAATGGGCTCAGCTACCGGTTCCTGGAGAGACGTTCGAGATAAGAGGAGGAGCCGGATTCGCTGTGGTGCAAGGAAAGATCTGGGTGGTTTACGGGTTTGCGTCTTCTCCTACTGATATAAGTGGGAAAGATGACTATGAGTCTGATGGTGTGCAATGCTTTGAACCCACTACTGAGGAATGGACCGAAGTGGAGACTAAAGGAGAGAAACCTTCTGCGAGGAGCGTGTTTGCGCATGCGGTAGTGGGGAAATATATACTTATTTTCGGGGGTGAGTCTTGCCCGGACCCAAAGGCACATATGGGTCCAGGGACGTTGTCTAATGAGGGTTTTGCGTTGGACACTGAGACATTGGTGTGGGAGAAGTTTGGAGGAGGTGATGAACCGGGGAAACTCGGTTGGTCGGCATCCACCACTGCCACCGTCTATGGAAAGAAAGGCCTTCTCATGCATGGAGGAAAACTTCAGAACAACGAATATACCGACGAGTTCTACTTCTACGCAGTCAATTCCGAGTAATCAATGCTCCTCTTCTCTAGCTCTATTACTTCATATCGGTTTGTTTGTGTGGTGTATTACTACTTATGAGTGACTTTTATTTTTCTTTTTCTTTATTGAGTCAATTTATGTGTGTTTGTGGGGGGTTTTTTTTTTCTTTTCTCAAATGGTTTGCGAAGTTGTTATCGTTGGAATAATATGTACTGTCCGTTTTGTTTTGTTTCTAATAAAATGATATGAAGTTATCTAAAAATTTGTTGTATCATCTAATTTCCCGCAATCGTCTAAACATTTAAATGATACAAAAGCCCATTTTTAAACATAGAGCATGTGCAATGGTAGAAACTCTAATGGAAATCTTAGTTAATATTAAATTATAAATATTTTCTTAAGAATCTTTGTTAAGATAATTTTATTTCATATGTTCCAATGGTAGAATTTCATTAAAGGTTCTTAAGAAAAAAATTTCAACAGAGATTTTGAACCTGAGAAACACATTCTTGAACAATGTGAATCCCTCCACTGTCTTCTTCTCCAAACACTTTATCATCGTTCCCTCCTTCCGCAGCCACGGGAACAACGATACTCGGTGACTGTTCATAACCATGTTCATCAGAGTCAATAGCTTCCCTCTCTTGCTTCCTCTCATAGTACTCAGTCCCCATGAAATCAACAAGCAGAGTGATCAAAGCAGCGACCATCGCCTGAGAAGCTGAGTCCAAGCAGAAGAGCTCTCATGGACTATGGCAACGCAAGTAGCAATTCGATCGTTTATGTGTTGGAGTATATGTTGGAGGAGAGCAAGAAGGCGAGGAACTTGAACGAAGGTGAAAATGAGTGAGGTTTGATTCTAGCTTTTGGACCTGATGTTACATTTGAAGGCATCGTGGCTCGAAACCTTGATGTTTAAACATAAAGTGAAGAGTAATGTGGAGGGGGTTTTGATTATACCTTGAAGCTCAAGAAAGAATCCCTTCCTTCTACTACTCTTATACCCATTTCAACAAAAAACAGAGAGAGAGAGATGCATATAATAAGATATGATGCTAAATGAGATGAACTCTTTTTACGATGCTAAAATCTCTCATAGCCTGAAAATATTTCACAAAGCAAACAACGTAAAATGTTTGAAAAACGAATATAGAGTTGTTGAAAGGAAACTTCGGTAAGCACGGGTTGTTCAATGCTTCCGTGCCACCGGCTAACATGTGCAAAATGGACTCTGTTGCTGAATTACAGAGGAACATTGCAACAAATGAAACACATATCAGAACAAATTCATTACAATCAATGAGAAATTTGCGAGAACCTAGAGAATCCTCTACTTAACCAAACTTCAAATCACATTCAAAGGTTAAGACTTTGAATTGAGAAGAACAAAAAAAAAGTGTGAATCTTTTAACTTAAAAATAACACTTGATGTAAGTGTTCGATGATATACCTGAGAGAGAATCTCTTTCTGATCCGAAGAAGAATAATAGTGGAAGCAGTTTCCGAAGAACCTAAACATACAACCCAGAATCAGTTTCCGTAATTCAAAATCAGAAATTTGAATCGAAAGGCTGAAATAAAATCGGAGATGACGACGAACATCGATGAGGAACATTGAGAGGGGGAGTCTCTAAGATTTCGTCGGGATCATGAAAAGTGGAGAAATTGCGAAGAATCCTCGTAAACCCAAGACATCCATCAGAATTAAATATGAGAATCCCGATAGGATAATTGCAGACGAAAACAAGTTGGAGAAAAATGTAATCGCAGAAAGATTGGAGGGAGAGAAAGGAAAAAGATCGATTCAAAACAGAAATCAAAGGAGAATCCATTGAATAGCATCAAAGAAGAAGCGTAGAAGGAGAGAAAGGGAAGAAATCAAATGAGAATACAGGGAATCGCACCGGAGAAGAAGACGTAAAGGGAGAGAATGGAGAAAGATCGATTTCGTAGGTTTTTTTTTTTTGTCTTTTCAATTTTTTCCAATCAAACATGAACACGTAGTCAGTAAAATCCGACTCTTAAATCCCTTAATTAGGAGACGATTCTTCTCTTTTAGTTTAATTTTCATTTAATTAAATACATTTTTATCTTAAGAACTAACCTTAAGAAACCGCGTTGTTAGGACCAGCAGGACGACGACGTACCATTTTCCAAGTATCTGCGAAGCTGAAATGATGCTTGTTTAAACCAGACGACGACGCTGACCATATATAGCTATTCATCCGGGTTCTACTTGAAATGCTAGAATTGTTCGGCTTAATAAAATAATAAAAGTTTGCTTCTCAAAATAGGTTTGAATATACAAATAAAAACCTAATATAAAGTCAATGGTTAACAAGTTGAGTTCTAAAAGTAAATGAACGAGAGGTTCGTAAAGGCTCACCATCTCTCCATATATACACATCTTTGTGTTCCCTTTTGTAAAAAGTGAAAATCACAACTCACAATTAATCCAAAAGAAGTCGATCGATTGGCTATTTTGTTTATAATGTTTGGTGCATTTATGTTGCTTTTATTCACTTTCTCTACCACAAAGCTAAGAAAGATGGCAGAGAAAGCATCGCCTGTCTCGGCAGCGGCTATGGCGGAACCGGAATGTTTTTAGATCGTGTGTTAATATGGTTAGACCAGATTCAATTGCCTTCGATCACTTTTGATGATGTATATTAAAAATGATACATATGAATTTTATAATATAATCTTACATATTTTAATATATATATATTAATATGATATTTGAATAGTATTATAATTATGTACATATTGAATATAATAATCAAATAATCATGCTCCGATTGGTGATATATATTTTTAAAGTTGAGTTATAGTCGATGTTATAATTCGATATAATTTGCAGTAAAATTATGTAGTAAAGATAATAGGTTTATGTGTTAAGTTTGCTGTATAAATTTAACTTGATATTTTTTGTCAAAATAGATATCTGGTAACTTTTTCTGATGTATAAGTTGCAGTATATATTATTTAATATAAAAATTAATAATAATTTGAATAATAAGAGTATTTTATGTGAGTAAAATAACAAAATAAAAATAGAGTATAAAGTTAATAATTATTTATTACAAATTTTAATAATAAAATAGACTAAAAAATTTAATATTAACTTAAAATACACCAAATTAAAAATCATATATATATATAATTATGTGGGAATACTTATTTTTTAATTTGTAGTATATATTACTAAAAGTAAATTAATTTAGAATGAATAATAATGATAAATATATACATAATAAAATCAAATAAAAAGAAGTTAAAAATTATAGACTAAGTAGAACTTTAGTCAAACTTAAAATAAAATTATTTTAGTTGACCAAGTAATTTTATTGACAATAAAATGAAAATGCATATATATCTAAATTAATTTTAGAAACAAATAAAGCTAGCAAAAACTGAAATCCAACGTAGGTGTTAAAAAAATTTAAACAAAATGACAATTTAACTTCTAAGTAATCACTTTTTCTTTGATTTAGCATTAACTTTTGAGTTAGCAATTTAACAAAGAGATAACTCAAAATTTTACATCAACTATAACTGATTATAACTCAAACTTAAAATAAAAAAACCTAATTTAACACTTGATTGGTAACATTTTTGATTTAAGCTCTTTACTCAAACTTAATCGATGGTACTTCATCTTTATGTCACCAATCTGATAAAAAAAATTAAAATAACAAATTAAAAGTGTAATTATGATGAAAAAAGTATTTCGATAAAATAAAAACAAATACAGAACTATAAACATAAATATCATGAACTCATAATTTTAAATCATGAGTTATTTTTTCCACACAAAAAAAAATTAAAAACGGTAAAACTTGGTTTGATAGGCTTTAATGGGTCACCAATTTCCAGACTTTTGCTGGTTGGATCCTACTAGATTTTTATCTGCGCGGTGCGCGGACTTATTTATTAATTTAATTAAAATTTTATATATTTATATTACTATTATATATATTAAATTAATATTATTGTGTGTTATATATGTCTTTTATTTAATATTTTTGTCTTAATATAAATATATATCTATATTGTAAATTATTTTCTAATATAGATTATAATATATTAATTGTTTAAAAAATATTTTATATATTTATATACTGCAATAAGTATTATATGTGTTCTTACTGTTTATTTGTATTCAATTGATTTTTCATCTTTTTCTATATATTGTATTCATAGATCAACAAAGTGAAATCATCATTGATCCTTCTCTATTTTAAACTAAATGTTCCCTTAATTTTATATCGATTTTCAAAAAATCTAACTTATTTTCAAACACAATTAGTCTTTTATTTGTTTTCCCTTTCTTATAGCTCTTAGTCTTGCTATTCTGATTGCAATTTCCTTTTTTTTTTCTTATTTCATGCAAGCTTTCATCTCATTCAGTTCTGTGATCTGTCATAACTCTAAATGAGGAGAATTTTAGTTAGAATTGGCTAGACAGAGCAAAAGATCTGTTCAAATATTACATATGTTTTATGAATTTTCATATCAAAAAGTTATGCGTATTTGATAAATTACTGATTTTACTTGATTTGAGGCGTTTTTCTTTTTCAATGATGAACTATCTTACTATATTTGTGAATGTAAGTGAGAATATTTTTGTCTGTTTTCATATCATGTGAATGTAAACAACATGAATATGTTAAAAAGTATAATCAATAGTCTTGTTTTAGTTTAATTATATATTTTAGATTAAAACTCATATATTATCTGACTGATGAGTAAAGTGATCGCATATCAATTTTATATTACCATAATTTAGAATAAGTGGTTGATAAGTATTTGCCATGTTTTCCCTCCTTCGTATAAACCAAAGTCATTTCTATGCTATATAATTAAACACTTTATTTATGAAAAACTTTCATTCATTTTACACAATAAAGTGGATATGAATGATATTACTTTAGTTTAAAGCATTAATATTTTTGAGAATTTTTAAATAAGTTTGATAACTATATTCTTAGCTAGTTCTTCTATCATCTTTCGTAATGTTCACTTTCCAACTCTTTTTTCAAATTCTGTTTGTTTATATTCGAAATAACTTTTTGAAGTTTTTATTTAAAAGAGAATTTGTAGTTTCTATAATTTTGTAAAATAAGTATTTGTTTTATATATTTGATTTTACTTTAGCTTTGTATATAAATCTTTCTAAGTTTTTTTTTTAAAGTTTGATAATTATTTTCTGTAGTGTTTTCCATAATCTTTTGTATTTGGTTGTCTTTCAAACTCCTTTTCACAAATGAAGAATTTTTAATTTTATGATTTGTAAAATACCTATTTGTTTTTAACTTCAAATTAATCATATTAAAAGCCCAAATATAAATATCTAAAATATAAAAACTTAAAAACAAAACCAAAATATTTAGAAGCTTATTTTAAAATTAAAAATATGCTGATGTGGACACATTAGATAAAGAGATAACTTGCTCATTATATATATGACTAGGTATATAACTCGTGCTACGCACGAGTCTATATTAATAGTTTGGTTTAACTTTTTTTTAGCTACTATCTTTAAAATTATTAAAACTATAATATATTTATAAAAATTTTCATTTATATAAGAGAATCTAATATATAATGTGTAATTTTCTTCTATTTTTTATAAATTTTTAAAACTATTAGGTAAAATATTAACAATGACATCTATCGAATTATTCAACTTTGACGTACATATACATTTGATTTAGAGAAAAAATTTCTTGCTAAGATTTTGGTATTATTTTCTATTTTCCTAAGATTTTCTATAGTTCTTTTTTCTTGAAGGTTTATGTGTTCAAATATTTAGTTTTTTTTATTGAAAGTCTTATTGATGTTGTGTACCACTGCATATATAATACATGATTTATCTTGATTCACATTTAATTTTGTTAGGAAGCTGCAATGATCATGCAAAACCATTTTTCTTTCTCCACTATGTCTTCCAAGAGTTTTATGTTATATTTTTATTTAGTTTTCAACTTTTCATTGATATCTATTTTTTTACAGTGTAATATTTGATAATTTTAGTTTTCTAAGGAGTCTTTGTATTATTTTTTACTGTTGTAATATTTTTGTGTGCAACATGCATGCTTTTATTTGAATATTTCATCTACATATAACAATTTGAGTTTGTTTTTGAAAGATGTTATATTTCGTTTTTTTACATTATTTTCTTTTCTATTTGTTACTTAAACTTTTTATCTTAATTTATTCATCTATAAAAAAAATTAATATTTTAAAAAACTTTTAGTATTTTTAATCACACTTAATATTTTTTGATTTAATGAAAACACTGATGTGGACCAATCAATTTGAGTTTCTTAAGAAATTTTCTTAATCTATATTATAGGTTTTTACCTTATTGATTTTTTTGTTAGTTTAACTCTTTTGATATTAAATTTTCATTTAATTTTGAAAGATACTCTATATATATATATATATATATATATTTTTAACATTATTTTCTTTTCTATTGTTACTTAATCTTTTTATTTTAATTTATTCATATATAAAACGAAATTAATGTTAAAAAATTAGAAATTAAAGTTTTAATATTTTAATCATACTTAACATTTTTTTTATCTGATGAGTCTATATTAATAAATTTTCTAATTTATATTATAAGTTTTAGCTTTTAATGGATGGTGATTATTATTAGAAAGTCGGTGAGACGTAAGAAATGTTAACCTATTATGTGTTGGTGCATTTTTATTCCTCAAGTAATAGTTAAATTAAATGGCGCAGAATAGTACTTCATTATTATATGTGGATTAATGTATGGTTACATACTATCTGAATGGTCCAGGTTTATGTCATAATTAAGCTCCTATACATATATTTGATGTAACTGAATAAATCGATTCTTAAAATTTGTGATTAGTATGTACACAACATGTTATGTTTCCGTGGAAATTTTCAACGACATAACCTATTATGATGAAAAAAAACATACGTACATTCTGTAACAAACCACCTCGTTCTCTATTTGACCGTATACAGTATAATTATTA